TGTATATTGTTAGTTCAAAAAAATTACAAATAATATTAGGTATATTTTTATATCTTGAATCCACTTCGTGAAAATCCTGGGTCCGCCACTGATACTAGCTATAAAAAGAAACGGCATGCAATGATAGTTTAATAATAATGGTTAATAATAGAACTATGTCAATAATGGATCTATTTTTTGTGGACATCCACATTAATGTTGTAGAATTAATCTAAATTATTAATTTAATTATTATGAATCATGAGCCCCCACTTAATTATAAGCTAGAAACATTACGGCAAAGAGACAAAGTATTAATTCTTTGATAATATAATATTCTTGCTTACAAAAGCAAGCTCAAGGAATTTATTGGGTCGTAGTGGAATGAATGTGATCCCTTTATCTTTAATAAGAGATTCAAGTTTGAATCTCTAAAAATATAAAAAAGATATTGTTGGAAGCATTATCTTATAATGCGTGAATTCGAATTTTGTCAAGCCCTGAATAGAAAACCAAATATATTTTTGTAAATTACTTGAGCTATTAGATATATTTTTCAAGAGGTGTGTAAAGAGTGACTTTCTTTACCATAATGTCAAAAGATTATATAATATAAAAAATAATTTTTTTGTTGCTCTATTTATCTTCTAAGTGTACCACAAACTTGAAACATCATATGGGTATATTTAATATTCATAAGTAAACTTCATCAATTCAATTGGGAAAAATAAATAAAAATATATTAAATTGGAAAAAATAAATAAAAATAACATTAATTATTAATATACCTGGGATAAGGTGATCCTTTAATTGGTTTTTGGCCATACTTCCTCCAAGTACAAGAATCAGATGGAGGATAAATATCCCCTTTATAATTACTTCTTGATATATCACAATCTTTAATTGGCACTGAAATTACTCTCTTCTTTGCTCCTTTTTTACTACAATTATTCAAAAACTATAACATATTATTTCCTCAATATATCACCAATCACCAATTACACCAAATCACTAGAAAAAAAACATTAATTTCTGATGGACGTTTCATTTGAATATAGCTCGTGATAAGGGCTTTTTGACATAAAAAAAACCGACTAAAATGTTATCAACGAGATGAATTCCATTAGAAATTAGCGATTTTCTGGTGCTGATCGTCCCCTCACTAAAAGAAGAGGGAAAAAGAATCAAGAATTCATATACAAATTACCTTAATTTTCTTGGTAATGACATCTTAACTTCAGTTATTTCATCATCGCCAGATAAAGAGCCCTCGGCTGAATTTTCTGCTATAGAATCTTCTCTGTATCGTTTTAATTTTATCTAATGCCTTTGAAATGACTCTTCTTGCTTATGAAAATATGGATCTTTTTGTAGCTTCACACCTTCCATGACCAAAAATTAATTAGCTAAAGCTAGGTTGTGTTGAAATTAAATCTTCTTTGTTACAACTTTTTTTTTGGTAGCTATATTCTTCAATTTCAAGAACTTTGCAGGCTTTAAATATGAGGTGCATTCAAGGAAGAAGGAAAGTAATGAAATTTGGCTTAAAATAATATGTGGTGAAGGAAAAAATGTATTCCACTCATCCTAGTTTATATTACACACTTTCTTGTTTAATCAATTACAGAAAGAATTATACGTTTCTATATTTAGTAACAATTTAACTTTTAATGTTCATTTTTCCCTTAATAATATGTTTTGTAACGGCACAAATATTTATGACTTATTTTAAACCACAAATATCAAAAAGTTTTTTTCTTTTTTAAACTCAGTACTTGATCATATAAATTGTTACGTGGGATAGTTAAATGTTTGACAGATTGGCAATAATATAGTTTATTAAGGACGTGGGAGCAATTAAGACATAAGAATAATAATTGTGATTTGTCTCAAAGGGGTGCTGTGTTCATGTAAAAAAGAGATTTGTTTTAAAAGGGCCCTTAAACTTAATTTGTTTTTCTTTTCTTTTTTGCCCCTATACTTATAATTAAATATTGATAAGACATGAAATTTCTGTCACATTATTTATATCAAGTTGGACAATTTATTATATCCAAAAAAAATGGATATTAGATTAAAATGGACTGAATTATAAAATTTGTTTGAGTCGTGACTTGCTCAAATAGTCAAATTTACTTTTAGTTAAAATGGGCTAAAATCGAGTTAAGCTCAATTAGTGATCAAGTTGATAAAGATTTGAATGTATTTTTTTTGTGTTTTATTTCCTTTCTAATGTTTATTTGATACTCGTTTTGAGATTTGATTAATTTGAAATCGTAAAGAAAAGCTTTACTTTAAATTTAAATGATAATGCGCTTCCAAATAAAAGTGACTTTATTTTTAAGATTCACGCATAAAAACTCTAATGGAAAACGGAAGAATAGTTAATTATTACTCACCACAACCTTTTGCACTATTAATGAAGTTTAATTTGTTATAGCTAATGCCTAATAGTATATCTTATTTTGAAGTTACTAATCCACTTTCTATCAACATTTATAGTTATAAATTATGGAAATCATATTAGTCCTTTATATTACTTTAATTAATAGTTCAAGTGACTTAAGTGTATAATATTCTTTTATACTATCGGTATAAAAGATCAAAGGTGGAATATCATGCTTGAATACTTGTACTTTTTTTTTCTTCCTTTAAATTATTTTTTTTGATTGTTAGTTTGATTTATCAGTTTATAAATATACTTAAATCAATAATTGAATCAACAAATAGTGATCATTAATGATGTGATTGTCGATTAAACCAATAAAGATAGATCTTCTAAAAGCTAACTATGTATAATCTCATAAGTAAAATAGTGGCAAATCTATAATTTTAAGCTCGCAAGTGCTTGCTTACTTAGAGTAGCTACAAATCACCTAGTAAAAGGGTATTGAAAAAACTACGATTAGGATCAACCATTACACACAGTTTTTTTTTTAAAAACATCTTGGAAAATTGAAATAACAGGATTTTTTAGCCAATTGCAAAAAAAAAAAATATTGTAAAAGCTACTCAACAAAATGATAAGAACAAAATTGGTACGTAGCTAAAATTAATTATTCCAATATAAAATTTTGGTTTATTTTCATTGTGTTTTTCTAGATGACTTTTTTTTCTATTAGCAACCAAAATTATTGGACAACTATTTCCAACTTAATTAATAAAGAAACTCGGTTCTATGAACGATTTTGGTCCAAAATGACAAAACAAAGAGAGGTAGAAAGGTTGTTTCTGATAGACTTTCAACACAAGTAAAAAGATTAGCGCAAGTAAAGAAGTCGCAACAAAATATTATAGAAAGCATGGCAAAACATTAAAAAAACATAGCCAAAAATGAAAACAAACTAACATCCAAATATGCCAAATTAACATTTTAACTCACCAAAACTTTTAAACTCCTCAGAGAGTAATAGTAATTGTTGGTCTACAAAATGGATAAAAAACATAACACTTGATGAGGAAACAAACTGATCCAACACTGGGATTTCCAACTTACTGAATGTTTGAAGATTTGTTAAGGATAACACCTTCATATTTGACCTGGAACCACTTCATTGAGTCCTCTTTTGTGACCCTGTGTTGAATTCCAACTCGAGACTTGCATCTACGACGACGAGCAACACGGTATCCTGGGCGCTCTAGCACAACATAGAAATCCATACCGTAGATACCGGTTGAAGGATCGTACCTGTAAAACAGATAAAAGAATAGATATGTCAAACAAAAAAGTAACAGCACGATCATCGTACATCCTATGCTCAGTGGCTGGGTTTACTTCTCTATATTTCGACTCCTCTGAGTAAAAATCCCAACTCAATCATTGACCACACTCGTATAGAACTTGAGGAAGACACAACCCAAGAAAATCTTGAAGATGAAATATATGCTTAAAATGAAAAGCTCTAGCAACGTAATTTAAAGCTTAATGATCCATATGCAAAAGAGCACAACCCTTGCAGCGCTTCTAACTCATTAGGCAGAATGTTATCAATACTCAAAATAAAAAATAGGGTGAAAGTACTCCAAATAAAATTATTAATTATATAAGCAAGATACAAATCTGCTTACTTAATTCCAAGATCGATGTGCTCCTGGATACCAAAACCAAAGCAGCCAGTTTCACTGAAGTTTCTTCTCAACAACTCGTACTCCTTGACTTTCAATCCACTCTCAAGGAGCTGCATAGCTTTCTCTCCTCTCACGGTGACATAGCAAGCTATCTTCTCATTACGCCTGATTCCGAAGGATCGCACAGTATACCTAGCTGTCAAAGAGAGAAATACAGGCAACAGAGGAGACTAAATATCATCAATAAAGAAACGAGGCATAAGCACTTAATCAGTTATATTCAACAAGCAATGGAATAAAACAAATCATGGGATTTATTTATTTGCCTCAGCACAAATGTATCAATGTATAAACACCATTTTCTTAGTATCTTATGAGAGTCCAGATATTATTCAACAATTCCAAAACTCAGAGTTCCTTTAATTCATGCATATATAGGTGAAGAAATCCACAAATAACTAGGGGATTCTTCCCATCTATCCTAGTCTTGGTGGACAAAGTTACTGGGTACTTCTTATTGGTGGGAGATGGGAGGTGGCAGGTATGCTCAAAAACTTCAGCATGGATGGATAGATGCCATACGGCCGTTAGCTATTAAGGCCATGGAATTAATCGAGGTGTGCAAAAGCTGGTCCGGACACCACGGTCATAAAAAAAAGGGGATACAACCATTAATTATTGGTTTCTTTCATGCTAAAGTGTGTCGATAAGATTCATCTTCATAATGCCAAAAACAACTACGCCTCAAACCCAAACTAGTTGAGGTGTGTTAGATGAATCCACAATATCCATTCCACCACATATGAGCCAGTTTTCACTATTCATATAGGATAAACAACTGGTTACTCCCACAACCTGATATTTACTCCTCAATCTATATTACGCCACTATATGAATCTTATTTATTTAAACACTAAACAACTTTATGGAAATTAGATCCACATCTTCACAGTACTAATATTGCATTTCACAGAGAGGTGCTTAAATATCAGAAATGAGAAAAAAAGGGAACAAATTGAAGGTTCAAAAAGTTCACCTTTGGAGAAAACAGGGGATTGACCGCTTAGTTGCTCCAAGACCTACAAATATGAATCAACGCATCGCTGATTTCAGTTTCACAACAACAAAAAAAAAAAAACCAACTTCTAAAGCAGCCTCAAACACTTTAGAGAAGGAGAATGACCTTGGCCGCCCTGGTAAGCCTATCTCCGCTCTCACCGACAGAGATGTTGAGGACTAGCTTCTGAACCTTGATATCCCTCATTGGGTTGCTCAATTTCTTCTCTGACGCCTACTCATTCAGTTGAGAATCAATGTATGAAGATCAGTGGTTTTAGATATAAAGAAAACTGACTCGTATGTCATAAACACATATATTAGTGTTCAATATAGTCAATTAGAATCGCAGAAAATTGATTCTTACATCATAAACACAAAATAGTGGGTTCAAATTAGTCAATTACATTTGCCGAAAAATTAATTCTTTTTTTACAATAAAATTGATTCTTACTTCATAGAAACAAATTAGTAGATGCACTTTAGTCATATACATTTGCAGAATATTAATTATTACTTCATAAAAAACAAAATAATGGGTTCAAATTAGTCATTTAGAATTACAAAAAAAAATGTTTCTTACATCATAAATGCAAATTATTAGGTTCAAATCAGTCATTTATATTAGCAGAATATCGATTCTATCTCTTTTTTTTTTTATAACCGTGGTGTCACGACCAGCTTGTGCACACCTCAACTCCTTCCACAAGCTACCTGCCACCTCCCACCAGCAACAGGTACTAGATAACTGTACTTAAACCAGATATCGCCGTAGCGGTAATTGATCCCTTCTACTTAAACACATACTAATTGGTGCACATTAATCATTTAGATTTGCAGAAATTGATTCTTACATCATAAATCACTAATTACAGCAGAAAATTGATTCTTACACCATAAACAAAAACTGATAGGTTCAAATTAGACAATTAATTAGCAGAAAAATTAATTATTTACTTATTAAACACAAATTAGTAGATCCAGCTCGCAATTTTACAGCAAAAAAAAAACTCATCCATTGGTATTAATTTGAAGGCAAAAATAACAACAAATAAATATGAAACCGAAAACGTACCATTGGATTCCGTTCTGAAGAGCTTTTTTTTTCCTGCAGAAGAAGATGAAGAAGCGGCGAAGTAGGGTTTATTGCAAAAATTTAAAGCAGATGGAAAAATTGGACTTGATTTAGCCCCTTCTATTTGGGCTTGGGCTAATGTTGTATTTTTATCATTTTTTTTTTTTAATTTGGGCTATGGGATCACTTGTACTTTTGTCCCTAATTTGTGTTATTTAGGACAAACAAAATAAATATCACTAGTTTATGGTCTAATTATGTGTTTTTTTGTGAGTTTTTGAAATTATTATTGGTGGCAAATTTTGGTTCCTAGCGTCCAGATACATGTATCTGGAATGCATGAGGTCAACATTAGGTATAACTTGTTTCAGATACACTATATCCAAGTTGATTTTGTGTATCTGGGATACAGTGACTATCTCCCTTGCATTTCTTGAATATCGCTCGGATCTCTCCTTTTTTCGTTCGCCACTCTCCCTCTCTCTCTCGCTCGCCGCTCGCTCGATGTATTTGTATTTCAAAATGTATTTGCAATGTATATAGTATGATCCGCATGTTTCTGGGATACACTGACTCTCTCGCTCGCCTCTCTTCTTATGTATCTGTATTTTAAAGTGTATCTGATTGTTAAAATACATGTATATAGGTGTATCTAACTTGAAATCGGATATGAAATTATTAATTAGTGAGACAATATGTAATTATTTCAAACTATATGGAGGACTAGTAAATAGAGAGAAATATTGAAAACACTCCTAAACTCGACGTGAATTATTAGTTTCATCCTCGAACTATTGAAAACCTTAAAAACACCTCTTTACTTGACTAATTGAACTTAAATACGCCCCGATCTTGCGACATGAATGAAATATACCCCTAATTTTTTGTCAAATTTAAGAGTGTTTTCAACACTTCTCTCAACTTTTATTAAAAGTTTCATGCTCCTACAAGAGTGTGAGACCATTTGTTATGTCATGTAGCAGATCAGGTGTGTATCTAAGTTTAGTTAGTCAAGTAGAGAGATATTTTTAATGTTATCAATAGTTCGAAATGAAACTAATAATTTGCGTCAAGTTCAAGGGTGTCTTCATTACTTCTCTCTAGTAAATATGCTAAGAATGTTTGTATAATTAGATAGTTTTTCCTTTAATTTATATTCCTTGTAAAAAATATTATTTTTGTAAGGCATAATATCTCACAAGTTAAAACTTGATCTATTCACATACTATCATTGAATACGCTTTTTGTAATCGATAACAACTATATTGAAACGGAAAATGATGGATCCATCTATAATTTTCAAAAATCATAATGCAATGAGAATTTTTTATCACTGAATTATGCATAAAATTCTAAACATGAAACGAACACGAGGTACCAAAAACGATGGATATATTTAAACAAAAATGCACTTATTAAAATATCAAATAGGTACCAAAATGGTGAAGAAGAGATTCTAAGATTCAAATTATTTTGTTGATTTTTTTTTACTTCTATAGAAATTTGAACTCCAATGCACCCAAAATGACATATTTTCGCATCCCTCCGGGTCAAGGCAATAATGAAGATTATTACTTACGTCTTCTTTATTTTAATTTTTTATAATCAGTTGTTCGATATTTGATTAATTTTCTTTTCATATGATCACGTTTTTATTTTAATATCTCAAATTATAATTAATTTTAATTCTTCAGCAATAGTCTTTTTTTTTATAACCATTAGAAAATTACTACTATACGTATTACAAATATTTAGGATTTAGAAAAATTAATTTTCCTTATACAGTCCTGACATTAGAAATATAGTAATATTTCTTTTAGAAATGTAGTAAATTTTCTTTTCAAATTTATAAGTTTTTAATTAAATGACAGTAAAATTTTGTATGATATTTTAGAACTTTGAATTAAACTACTTAAAACTTATAATCTACTAATATGATTTTTGATAAGAACAACCAAGATATTGTATTCCATTAAATGGGCTAACATTTTATCAACTTGAATCCTTACCAAGTTATATAATAAAATAATAACGCATTGCATACTAAGTTATAAACCATAAACACATATGAATATTTAGTTATATAATAAACCTAAAAAATAGGTTTTCAACCCTCAAAACCTAAAACATAATTTTTAGTGACATTATCTGTGAACTCATAACCTATGAGAGAAAAAAACACTAAAATTAATGAGGCTAAGAAGATCTACCCTATGAGAGATAAAAGCACTAAAATTAATGAGGCTAAGAAGGTGGAAGATCTTGCTTTGAACAAAAAAGGAATTGAAGATTTAATTCAACAATAAGCCCATAAAAAAGAATAAAGAATATGCATAACTTTCCGTAGAATTAAAAAAATAGCACATTTATCAGGGTAATTCCTTTTGAAATGCAATGTTGATGGTAGACTTATAGGAGATTCATTTTGAAAATCATCTTTAAAATATAGAAATGAGCTGATGTTGTGTTCATGGTGTTATGGTGTGTTTTGATATTGAAAAAAAATGAAAGTATTATGTGATAAAGAACAGTTGGGGCTAAATTGAGATTATTGTGAGTATGCTCCGATTGAGATACTTCATATTTTTGTGTTTGAATACTTCCTTTTTTTTGTGTTCAAATTTGAAATTTGAGACTATTATTCTCTTTATCTTTTGAATTACTTATTCATATTTGTTACCTTTAATAACCATGTCCTTTTTTAATTAACCAAAATTTGATCAGTTGGTAGTATTTAATTTAATTAACCAAAATTTGATTGGTTGGTGGTATTTGACTTAATCAACCAAAATTTGATCGATTGAAGATATTTAACAAATTTTAACAAGTGTTAAATGCTAATCGCCTTTAATTAGAATTCTTACCTAGAATCTATAAGTTAGTAAGTCCATTAAATGAAACTATTTTAAATTACTTAGTTAAGAAGTTATGTATTTTGTAGCTTAATTGATTGACTACTTAAACTTTTACTTATTTGATGCAAATTTGATTCCCCATCTACTAATTCGTCCTCCATTTTCCCTCTCTTACCCTCATTTTAAAAATAAAAAAAAAAAATATATATATATATATATATATTCCGATTCACTCTAATAATTAGATGGTGATTCTCTTTAAATAATAAAGTCGAATTTTCCGAATATGTTATACTCTAGGTTTGACTCAACTTGACGATTCCAATGGGTACAAATAGGTTCTAAACCATGACAAACTTTGGGTTAAAAATTGAATACAAATTTGTTAAAAATAAATGCTTTTTACTATTAAAAATCTCAAATTAGTAAAGTATGAAACTTTATTTGATATGCTATTTTTATCAAATGATGTAACTGATAAACTGTGTATAGATATATTATAAATAGGGGAACTATCACATATAGCCACTTAAAAATAGCTTAATTACGCTCCATAGCTGTAGTTTGCTAATTACGATTTGTAGCTACATGTTATAGGGAGGAGAGTGGCAAACGAGATTGGGAGAGGGAGGAGAGAGGCGAGCAACAGAGGGCAGCGAGTGGAGAGAGGTGAATTGTATATGTATATTTGTCGAATTGTATATGTATATATGTCAAATAATTGTATATATGTACCTAATATACATATGTATTTGTATATCTGGCGAGCAAGATTGAGAGAGGGATGAGAGAGGCGAGCAAGATTGGGAGATGGAGGAGAGAGGCGAGCGAGAGAGAGTGCAGAGAGGCGAATTGTATATGTGTATATATATATATATATTTGTATATTTGGCGAGAGAGATTGGGAGAGGGAGGAGAGAAGCGAGCGAGATTGAGAGAGAAAGGAGAGAGGCGAGTGAGAAAGGTCAGAGAGTGGAGAGAGACTAATTGTATTTGTATATATGTCATATTACTATATATATGTGTATAATTTGTATTTGTATATGTATAAAAGAGGACAAGTGACGTAATTAAAGCTAAAACTAAGCTACGAGCCATAATTAATTCAAACTATAGTTATATTAGCTATTTAAATAGAATTTGTTTGCTTTTCCACATAATTTTCCCTTATAAATATAATTATAACAGAATGTAAGACATTTATTTACTCCTATCCTTCAAAACTCTACGAAAATGTAGGATGTTTTGCCAGAGGAAGAAGACTTGCAATTAGAGCGGTCAAAATGGGTTGGCTCAACCCAACCCTAAAGAGCTAGAGAGTTAAATGGGTTGGGACGGGCTGACCCTTTTAATTAAGGAAAAATCACACCATATACACATTTAAGAGATAATATTACGGGTTTTAAACATACTTTAAAAATATTCTTACTTATAACAGTTTATTTACGGGTTATAACATATCAATTAAATTTAACTTTATTTAAAAATTAATTAAAATTTAATTTAATAAATGATTAATCTCTTTATATTTTTATATTATTAATTATTAATAGTTAATTAATTTGATTGCAGTTCCTTTTTTAAAACATAAATTATCAGTTACACAAATTTAGGGATTGACATTGATTAGAGTTCCTTGATTACTGTTACATTCCAAACCTCCCATTCACATTAATCCCACCCCCATCCCCCACGCCTATCCAATACTACAGTAATCGTCCCTCCCATCTTTCTCACCACCCCACTACCCCACATTCACAATCGTCCCTCCCATCTTTCTCACTACCCCAACTTCAAAACCGTCCCTCCCGTTCCATTTCTCATCATCATCATGTCGAAGAAAACGATTGTAACGCCTCGAAAGAGTCCTCGATTAGTTGAAGGAACATCTACGGATGAAGTACATGCTCCAACATTCAACATATTGACTCAAACCCCACCGCCAAAAAATGTTGAAATTCCTGCAAAGTGTGGTTCCTCTCAATCGAAGGATCAAAA